TATTGGTTGACATGGTGCAATATGTAACATGTGGATCACTATCAGTCTATTAATATTTTAGTCAGATGCTCTTTAGTTGGTGAATTTTATTTCCCTCTGCAATTTATGTTCCAATTAGTTACCACAGGGTGCTTCCCTATAACTTATATCTAATATGTGCTTCTTGCACTTTGTTGTCCTATTACCACCAACAGAGCTTGCAATCTCTTTTAGTTAGTGTCTGCTGAGTGTTGATGAATATTCCCAGGCACTATCTACTTGTTTGACCTTGAACAAATTGTGGATCTGGTCCAGTTTTCATATCTAGTTGCAGATTACATATTTGTATGCACTTTAGTTGGACCAAGATCAACTTGAGGCTTGAGCAAGTCTACTCAGTTTATCTTATATAGAAAGAATCTGTGTATAGTAATGGTGATATAAGCTCACTTAATATTACCTTGTTAAACCTGTGAGATGTCAGCTGCGACTATCAACTTTTTTCTCTGATAAGATTTGCAATAAAGGGACTTTGTTTAGTGTCAGATTTTTCATTGTTTCTCCATTTTCCAATTGAGCTCAAGAAAAGTTAGCATCTTTAGAACAGGGGATTCAGCTGGATGAGGTTTATGTTTGATGTATTTACAGATCAAGATTAAAAGTTCTCACTTTCCATCATTATCTAGCTGAATATTTATTTTCACCTACAAATAGTTTGCAAACACACAATTCCCAATGAAACCTCTGAGAGAGAAACCTTAGGTTTCTGATTGTCTTAAGCTAAGGGGGCAATTGCTGAGGCACTTCGGTTTTTTTGTACTGATCAGTTCCATAGCTAGCTTTTACCTGAAAGCTACGTGGTAACTAGGACTTCTTTAGTCTGACCGGTTCAGCACGCTCTACTTTGAGTCCTTTGGACCATTTGTTGTATTAAGTGATAGGTGTTATGGACTGTGCAAGCTTCATCTTCCCATAAAAGCAGATTTTTTATGGCAAGGTGGTTGGGAGTGGCTGAAGCTTGCTCCCAAACCACTTAAAAGAAGTTGATACCTTTTCTTCAAGTTTTTTTTTCCCACGATGGTGTCTAGGTCAAACTTGCGCACACCTCTACTGTTCTGTCCAGTACATGCTAATCTTCTTTAAGTCTTCTATGAATTCCTCTAGTATTCTTGGAGAGTATGGTACAACATCTTAGAATGGGTTCTCTTCAAGTAGGCTGGGTATGAAGGATTGGCTATATTTTTAGAATATGTATCAAGAACATGCACATTAGGCTTTCAATACATAAAATCATCCCTTTTAGTGTGCGTGTGTGCGCGTGTGAAGGATTGGCTAGATTTTTGAAGTAGGGTTGTGTTTGATATGTCATCTGAAGTACAGTAAGTTATGAGTTAGGGTCGGTGGAAAGGATAAATTAGTATAGGTGGTTCTATAAGTCATCTACTTTGAGGAGCTTCAACATAGAATTTCCAAAATTGAATCGATGGGTTTGGATTAATCTCAATTGACCTTTGGGGTTGGGTTAATGGAAGGATTGACTTCACATTGAGAACAATGTAGATGTAAATGAAATCCATCATTTAAAAGTAATATTCAAAATTTAGAAACTGTACATCAAAGGGAAATAAAAAAACAAACTGGAATATTTTTAAAAGTCATGGTTCCTGTGGAACACATGGAACACCAATTTGACTGATTTCCTTCTCAAAGGTTTACATGGAAGTAGTATAATTGTACAAATAATTCTACAAAGCTTATAAGCTTCCAAACAACGAATTCATCCCTCATTTTCTGGGCTTCAACTAAATGGTTCCTCTTCAATGTTGCTCAGCAGTAGTGTCCATGCTAGGTTACACTGACCTTGTAGCTTTAATTTCTATAAAGAAACCATGTAATAAGAAATAATATTTCAAAGGAAACAAAAAAGAAAATATTTGACATATTTTGTTAGCAATTATCAGCTCCAGTAGATGCTTCCTCCTTGTTGGTGGGAGGTAGAAGGTGTTTTGTCAATGTTGTCTCTTCAGTATTAGCAATTCTTTTCTCTTCTGTTTTACCCCACAAAACTAGGTAAAGCCCAAACATAATCAGAAGTCCTCCAAGTATCCTGCATTTACAAGTTCATTGGTTTGGGATCAATTTATTGTGAGCAAGGAAGGGGGGATATAGTTTGTAAAAGTTAGCTTTTGAACTTACCCTCCAGAGTACAACTGATCACCGAGAATTAGAAAAGCCATGACAGCAACTAATACAGTTTGCACAGGCTGGAATGAGGCAACATAAACTGGTCCACCTTTCTGAATGCACCAAGTCTGGAGAGAAATGACTATTCCAGAAGAGATAATACCCTAAATGCAATTGAAGTCAAATATAATTAGTCATTCATGTTAATTAAGATCATGTGAAACAGGGTAATCACAAGGGGCTTACAGCATATAAAATCAGATAAATTTCCTCTCCAGACTGGATCTTCCAATGTGTTGGATCCCTTTCTGTAAAAGCTGCTATAGCTAGGAACTGGATCAATCCAAAGAAGCATGTAAATGATGTAAGTGATAGCTTGGCTGGATACTTCTTCAGCATTGGGGCCTGCATAGCATAGTTTACCAAGTCTAATTAGAGCAAATAAATAACAAGTTGTCAACCATGTGGAAACTGTTTGGCCTTACTAACAACAATTGCAGTTGTGGTTTCATTATAAAGAAATTTTTTTGTACGATCAGCGTAATTTAACTTGTTGTAGCAAGCTATTCAATAATGTTGTTAAAATACATTACTTGTGGAGGGATCAAACAACATTTTTGAAGAGTCCGAGCAACATCATGAGGTATACCTGAAGAACCATCCAACCAGCCCATGATAAGCACTGAGCAAACAAATAAACACAACCCCATGTCCAATTCAGCATGTCCTTTTGAGAAGCAGCCATTTCTTCATCAGAAATATTGCTTCCTTTTAACAGAGGAGGGCCCTTGTAAAGAGTAATAATTGTGGCTCCTCCAACACTTGCTATGGTTCCCAGAACTTTGGCCATGCCATCTCTCCTCATAAAATGCACTTTTTCTAGCCTGATAGTGTATACAAACATGTAATTTAGTCTCAATAGTTAGTTTGATTAAAAAATAAATAAATTAAGGAATACATGTAAATGTGTCATTTTGATGGCATCTTAAGGTTGTAGCCTAGTAGTCAATGACATTAGCTGAGAACGATGAGGTCTCGCGTTCAAATCCAGTTTATCAACAAAAATAAGATGAGTCATTTTAATGAGCTCTTGCATACCTTAGAATAGAAGCCATGATAAAAGTAATAGCAGGAACAGAGTTTTGCATTGCTGAAGCAAAGGTTGGTGATGCATAATACAGCCCTAAGATATAAAATCCTTGGTTTGCTGTGATTCTGAAAAAGCAAAAACTTAAAATGATTAGCAAAATACATTTTTAAAAAAATGATTTACTAACTCATATACACCGACAACGTAAAAACTCTCTATATATTTGAAGTGTTGTAGTTGGCAACTTACTAATCTTGTTTTTTTATGGCTTTCAATTAACCTAGTCGCTAATTGTATAAAAATTCTTTACACTGTCACTGCATATATACTTGTATTCGAAAGTTCAAAAAAAAAAAAAACTACTTGCTTACCCTATTAATGCAAGGAAGAAAAATTGAACCAATAGAGAGAATGTGAGGGGTGGTCTTTCCTTCCTGTATAGAAAAAATGTTACTATAAATTAAGAAATAATGATAAAAATATTTTTTTAATAAAAAGTAATATTTAAAAACTCACTTCTCCAAGAAATAAGCACAGGGTCCTAACAAAACCAATGCAATAGTATTTCTATAAACTGGATACACAATTTGGCTGACACCAATATTAAGTGCAAGTCTTGAGACTATATGAAAACCTGCAAAACATAATTGCAAAACAAGCAATGCTATAAGAAGTTTCACTTTTCCAGAAATTCCACTTTTTGGTTCCATATCTTTTGATTTCTTTTTCACTCTTTAGATCCTCAAGTACTAACAATTGTCCCCATATATACACACACAATGTGAAAGATGCCAATTGGAAAAGAAAAAAAGTGTATTAAATTATTGAATAATTGAGGGAGAAAACAGAACAACCTTACTGGCATATGCAAAGTGATCATTTAGACATAATATTATGAGATTCTGAATATATTTTTTTAATTTAGAGTCTGTTGATGTATAATGTGCATTTATTGATATAGTTGCTCTATGCTTTGCATGCAAATCTGTCCATTATGAGATTTCTTTTTATCTAAATGCTATATGATTGGTTGACTTAGACTTTTTTTGGAATTTGTTGGGGAGACAAAGTGGGAGCTATGCATGTTGGTTTGGTAGTTAATAATTTAAAGATAAGAAACACACACCCTATTTTTGTTACCTTTTTTCAATTTTGGCAGCTATTAATTTATGGAGGAGTTTTTCTCAGATATGTTTATTTAAATAATAATGCTTACCGATTATTTTTCATCTGTTCAAGATGCGGGCGCTAGGTACTTGGTGAGATAGTTAAGTGCATATGAGCTTGTCTCAGAAATCGCCATTATCAACGAGATTAAAAGGAGGAGGAATCTTAGATCCCATGTGGTCCTTCAAATTTTCATAATAAAATACCCAACTTTGCAATATGATAATTGACGTCCACAATAGGAGGACTGTATCATTATGCAATCAGTATCAGTACAGTTATTAGAAATCTAATGAGAGCAAAATAAACTTTTGCAACCGAAAAGACATTTGATAAATAGAATCTTTTCACAAGCAATCAACCAAAATCCTTTGAGAATCTTCAGTCAGTAGACAAAACCCATGTTATCTTTATTATTGATCTTTTCAGAGTAGTAGGTAGGTTTTATTAAGAGATTCTACCATTAGAAAAAAAGAATTTTCTTATCTAATTTGTCACTCAAAAATAAAATAAAATCTACCAAGATGGTTCATGAATGAGAGTATTAACGATTTTGGTTTATGAATGAGAGTACTAACAATTTGAAAAAAATCGAACGAATATTAACACGATTAGTTGCATGATAATTTATCCAACTTGGATGTTTTATACATGTCTTGTGCTGGAAAAGATTTCAAAGACTGACCTATTTTCTACAACAAATTGCACAGCTTGTCAAAAGCCAAGAGATCTGAGACGTAAGGATCTGCAACTACATTAGATGAAACCATGATACAAAACCCAATCATCACAAAGTATGGACCACAGAACAAGACCGAATCTGGTTGTCTAGACTCTAAGATTCTTTTTGAACAAATTTCGGAGTTTTACTGCTTTTTCCTGAATGCAATTACAACAGCGGAGCAGTTATCTTTGCATTGACGCTCTCGGACTGCCTCTCGCACAAGGTGGCGACTCGCAGCTTTCACAGATAGCCCCTCCTGTCAAACAGATGCAAAGGTTAAGAAGCAAGCTGCTAACAGAAAATAGTCAAAAAATGCAAATCTTCGGGAGACTCCTTAACTTTCTGGAGGTGACATACCTTTAATAGCTTCTGAACAAAATCAACAGCATCACTTGGCCCAAAAACCTACAATCATATAGAAAAAGTAATATCCCCAGGATGGGCACCCAAAGCATAGTGGTTATATGAATAACTATAAGAATAACAAAAAATAAGAAGAAAAAAAAACAAAAGATACCCCCCACAAGCCATCACAGCCAAGAATGATAAAGTGGTCTCTCTCGGTAAGGTCAAATGAGTGAACATCTGGAGTTGCAATGACACCAACCTGCATATTGAATTCCTTTACATGAAAAAGATGGAATACACCACATAAACTGAATGTTCAACAAGTAGTTCAACCAGCTATTGAATTTTCTGGAAGATATTTGGGCAGCCACATGCACATATATGAAAATCCACTATCCACAGGATTCCTTCAAGCAAGAAAAGATTAATGAAGAAGAGATAAGTAGACACACACACACACATTTACGTATAATATGTGTAGACGTGGGTCATTTCATCCACTCCAAAATCAAGGTTTTTCAGATAAAATGGACAGATAGAGAAACAAATGAATCTATCACCTGTCTCAAATGTCACTTCTTTTAAACAGCTTATTTTATGGATACCTACGTAGAATGATTTTTTTTGGAACTTACAAGGCCAAAACACTAGGAAAACACGACTTTGCTGATGATATCTGAACTGTATATGCAGCAAATGCACCATCAAACTTACTCCACACCTTACTCGGTACATGAAAACCTATCAGGGGATAGGAAATAACAAAAACGGTGCACCTACAGATAACAATAGTATTTTCTTAGGATGCTCTATAAAACTATGCAAAAACACGTTATCACTTGCAATATGGATAAACAGAAAGGAACAATTATAGTCGTCATAATCACCAGTTAAAAATTAAAAGAAAAGAAAAGGTCTGGTCAACATTGAGATACTTTTAATCTCAGCACACAAACCTTCTTGAACTGCCGATCTCCGAAAGCTCTGGAAACTTCAAGGCGCGCTTGCAATCGTCCATTAGAACTGACAGATCCCCCAGCCTACAGGACCATGATATTCGTCAGCAGAAGTCAATAAGCATAACAGAAAAGCAAGAAATGATTTGGGCACAACATTCAACTTATGACAAGAAAAATTCAATCTAAAAGCATTTATCAAAAAAAATATTGTTGGAATGCCTTGAATTTTTTAGGAAAGAAATAACAGACTAATATGGCCACTACTCCCTAATGGGTAACTTTTGGAAAGCTTGCACGCACACGCACCTAGACTAAATTCACTCGAAATCTATCACCTCCCACCATAGCACAGGTATCGGGTATCTCTGCCTACCAAGATTTGTGCATGGAAATAAATCACCTAAATTTATTTGCCAACAAGATCCTTTCAATTTACCTCCATCTGAAAGATACTTACATGTGCTATTATATGAAATTATACCAGGACAAAGGTTATGGAACACATTTAGTTTCAAAGTACCAAAATCCAGAATCATTATCGAATTATTTGATCAAACTGGTTCACAAATTAAGATAAGCTAAACAAGCTCTAGCCAGTCTTTGAGTAAAAAAAACAAGATTGATAACCATTCAAGGGGCATTCATTGCCTAATGCTTACTTTTTGGATACGTGCACGTTCTTGAGGATATATAGCCTTGTGTTCCCTGGTCAAGACTATGGCCTTTATTGGAGTTGATCCATCAGAAGTGTTGTTTGAACCATCACTAGGAGATGACCGAGCTAAAATTGCTTTTGCATCTCCAATATTAGCAACAAACACCTAATCATACATGATACAAAGATCATTAGATATTCAAAGCAAATCCGTGGGAGTCAATATAAAAAACTGATAAGAAAGAAGTACATATTTGTGAGGCGCTACAGGTTATTTGGAGAGTGAGTTTTCCATGAAGACAACTTAGACTAAAGGAACTACTTTAGAGATACTAATGGTAGTTGGTCTAATGCTCAACATCCAGATGACTCTTTCGGGACTACAGACAATATCACAAAAGCTTAAGCACCAAGATTTGAAGTATCTTGAGATAAGGTTTCCCAGAAAAGATTAGATATACACTTCTACGTGTCTGCGACACAGAGTAATCATATCAATCTAATATTGATGGACTCACACCTAAACTATGAGTGTTCCTTAAGCTATGCGCTTCAGATGCCAAAACCATCATTCCAGCAACTCAACAGTGTCGAAGGAGAATCACAATAGAGCTCAAAAACCAATCACTAATTTGAGTACAGAAGAAAGTATAAGATTAAACTTACTTTGGATCCTAATACCCAGACACATACTGCAGCCGCTCCATCTTGCCAACCACCTGCTGATGCATCTAAAAACTGTAAGTAGGTTATCAACTTTTAAAAGAGACTAAGAAAATGAAAAGCTCCAGATCCTTAGCAAATAACAAACACAGCTTGAACTGGACTATGAACCAAAGAATGATAACACTTGACAATTCAGTGTGAAATACCAAGCTGCCTAAAAACACATACAAGAAAAACAGAACCACCTTACTAGCATTTCTGAAGGAAAAGGAACCAACATCGTTTTCTAATTATCTTATTGATTATCTAGCCGACCATTCTTTACCCTCCTATACACGATAACAATGTAAATTTAGTAAAACCATACTAGTAATGGATCCACCCAATGAAAATATAGTGCCGCTTTTCCTTCTCAATGAAAATTAATGATATAGAATCAAGTAGACTATCTTCAGAATATATAAATTAGTAATACAAAACAAAATTCTTGAAAGGGAGAACAAATCACAAGCACATCCAATATCTTGCTGTCAAATTACATACAAAGTACCTCATGATGGAACTTTTAAGGAAATCAAGAATACAGAAAAAGGTTGGAACTGAGAAAATATACCTTTGGTGCTTTCCTGAAGAAGAGACTCGTCAGTTCTCCTAAATCCTGATAGATGGAAATGAGAATACATAAATCCACCATGAGTAATATCAATAGTTGGATCAATTGAAAACAGGCGAAGGAGCAAGAATATCAAGTTCTCATATCTAGCAAAGAAGCCCAGTACCATACCTTCGAGTATGGCCTTTTTGGCTGCTTTAATATCCAACTGCAAATTCATTGAAAGAATGACAATGATTACAAAGTATGGAGAACCGAAACAAATAAAAAGTAACCACTACTAGTAACAGAACTATGCAACAAGTGATGATTGACCAATGGTCGCAACAAATATTAGACCAACATTAACAAGACTAAGCAAACACACCAACTCACGTGGTAAGCCTGCAGATAGAACATTGTCATGTAAATGCTTCCGGGCATACTCAGCAGCTAATCGACCTCCATGCCCATCATATATTGCAAAATGTGCACATCTAAATAAAGGAAATAACATGGTTAGGAAAATTTCAAAAACCCTAGCAGTGCATTAAATCAGATCTCAAAGAGTACATCGGTCTCAAATTCATGTCAAATTTGTATATTTCTCTTTTATATTTTAATATGACACAACTTTAGCTTACTGATGACAAGACCTTAGACTTAGATAGAAGGTTATGAAGGACAAGGATTAGGGTAGAAGGTTAATAGGTAGTTGAGCATTGTGCCACTTACCATTACATCCTAGTAGGCATAGTATTACTCTTATAGTGTTTTGTTCTTCGATTTCTGCACTACTAATCGTTTTGTACTACTATTATCGTATTATTTATTGTAACTACTGTTCCTTTACAGAATGATTTATCACATTTTCTTTAGTATTTTGCCATCGCTTCTTCACTTCCCTTTTTTTCTTTTTTCTAACTGCTTTGAAAAGTTTTTCCTCAAGCCTAAGGTCTATTGAAACAATCTCTAGTAAGGTATGCATACACACTAACCCTCCCCAGACTCCACTAATGGAGTTACTGTGATTACATGTGGTTGTTGTTGCTATCATTGTTCTAAGCTAAAGCTATGGGTCCTATTAGATCTTCAGGTTAAACAAATAGCAAATAGAACGCCAAAGCGAAAAGACTAAGTATTCGAGTGATCACTTCCCTAACACAACTCTTTCATCTCCCTCAACAATCAATTAACCAGTTATGCAGACTGTCGAACAAACCCTATCTACATTAAGCTAATCCATACGTACAAAACACAAATTTATTTGGGAATTAGGGTTAGTGAAAAACCTCAATTTCCCGGGAAATTCAAGGCCAGCATCAGGAAGAACAACAGAAGCATCCTCCATGGTGTGTCTGGAACCCTTATCCTCAGCTGCATCAGCTTCTATTTCAAAATACAATTCACATCCATTTTTCGGGACAGTGATTTCAGTCTTCGGCTCGTCATGAGTGTCGCTACTTCTCAACTTCTTTGTTACGGAATCCGAGCTATCAGGATGAGCTTCGCGTTTGTTATTTGCAGTGGTGCTGACACTCTCTTTGTCAAGTGATGTTGAATCGGAACTTTCAGCCATTTTTTCAGATGAACGGCCGGAATCCAGTAAATCGGTAGCTCAAAGAGACGGAGACTGAAAGCTATATGGTGTATAAACGGATAGTGCGACTGAAAGCGGGGACGATTTCAGAAAGAAACAATTACACGGAACAGTCCAACAATTTCTAACCAAATTCATCCCTCTTATTTCACCTCAACTGTCACTTTATCCTTATACTATTTCATTTAACCGAAAATATCCTTTAAGTTTCCTAAAATTAACCAAACACATCCATCCCTTCCTTCAATTACTACTAATTATTCTCTCTTTAATATGTTTTAAAATTTATATTATATTACACTAAAACCTCACTAAATTAATATAGATGAAACTATGAAATATAATCATTTTATAAAGATATTATTTAATCAATTAATATTTATTAATTTAAAGAGTGTTTCAACGTCATAAAATTAATTTTCAAAAAAATGAACCTACTTGTAAAACTCATTCATGAACTTGAGATTATGATTAATGATCTCGGTTATCACAATGAAATGAATGGTAATAACTTGTTGGATGGGTAGAAAATACTAGAAATGGTATATGTTCACAGATTTAAAGCTTAGAAAAATTATGGATATTATTGAAAAGATAAAGTTAAAGATGATATAATACATATGAAGCCCGTTATGTGTATGAAAACACTTATAATAGCATTTAAAACTTTTCATTTGAAAAGACAACCCTGAAACTTTTGAATGCAATATAAAAACCTAGAGATGGGTTCAATTAGATTTAAATTTTAACAAAAAAACATAAAACAATCAAATCATATTTCATTAAATTGTTATATATATATATATATATATATATATATATATATATATATATATATATATATATTATTTTTTAAAAAAAAATTATTAATTTATAATATTAATGAGACCATATACTTATATAAAGATCTTCTAAAAATATATTATATTATCGAAATGAGTGACTTTGTTCGCTTACAAATCATGATTTCATGGAAATTATTAATTAATTGGATACTAATTTAATGAGTTTTACTGTATTAATCAATCAAAACTCCTAATTTCTTTTTCTTATAATTATCTTTTAATTGATTTGAAATCCTTTTTATTTGTAATAAAAAATATATATTATCTTATCGAAATGAGTAATTCTATTCACTTACCCAAATCAGGATATTATTTCATAGAAATTATTAATTAATTGAATATTAATTTAATGAATTTTACTGTATTAATCAATCAAAGCTTCTATTTCTTGTGCTTATAATTATCTTTGAATTGATTTAAAACCCTTTTTCTGTAACGAATGTAAAATATTAAAAATATACAGATTTTGATGCGCAGAAATTTAAAAAATGCGCAGGTTTTGATGTGCAAAAATTGAAAAATGTTTCAAAATCTAAAGAAAAGTGTGCAGATAAAAATTTATCAGTGTGGAAGAGACGCTCTCCATCAGGTAGACGAATGATGCAATGATATGTGTGGTAAGAATAGTAGATTAAAGCCGTCCCATATAAATTACCGCGGAGTCAAAATTTTTAATAAAGACATCAAAATATAAAGTAAAAATATTAAACGTAGTTATCCGAATTAGGCACATGTTAGTAATACCCATTTAGGGTTTGTAGGTTTACATATCACTCAAAAGAGGTTGAGATTTTCGTTGTCAATAAATTACGCTTTTCATTTCATTTTATGTGTTAATTTTTTTTATAAATAGTTAGTTTATAATATTTGTTATTTCGTAAAATTAATACATAAATTATCATATTATTTCATTTTTACCCTGGTGAATTATTAGCGTTAAAAATATAATATTTGATCGATTTAGAAAGATTAAATAAATTATTTATATTTATTGATTAAATTAATTAATCATAATAAATTAATTCATATTAATTAATTAAAAACTTTAGTTTCAATAAAATTAAATAAGGATAGAAAAATAAAATTACGTAATTTTTTAATATAAATACAAACTAAAAACTTTGACATATAAAATAAAACAAGAAGTACTTTGTGATGAAATAGAATATTTTAGAAAAGCAAGTTTCATGAGAATTGCTCCCTTGAGATATCTATTATTCCTATGGTGTGATATTTCTTGCGTCTTCATTTGTATGACCATTTTTATTTTTTTAGAGTTAAAATAGTTTAAATTAATTGGAAATTAGCATAAGAAATCTTTAATATTTTTATATGAAATTTATATAATTGTAAATTATGATAATTTAAAATATTTTAAAAAAATAAAATATACAAATAAATTTCAAATTTAAAAAATATCCATAAAATGAGATAAAGGAAACATTTATTATTAGATCTTAAAAGACATTTAATAGTAATACTAAAATATGAATAAACTAAAGAAGAGTAAAGTTAACAAGTGGATGGATAAAGATGAAGGTGTGCGTGAAACGCGTTGGGCATGCGTTTCACTCGAATCCCTATAAACTCTCTTTACCATACACGATTCCGATTCAATGGGATAGAATAGTACTAATTCAATTTTCCACCCAAATAAGTACAAAAACATTCCAAATTTCAAATCAATCTTTCACTCTCCTTTTTGTTTTTGGTCCCTCTTCGCCCCCGCCATTGAAATGTATCATCGCGAATATTTTTGCAAGTGACAAACAAAAGAAGCAGATCAAATATGCTAACATTATTGGTCCAGCATACACCTCTTTCCAGATTCACTCATTTTTATCATCAGGTCAGAAATATTATTCTTCTGTTCCTTGGAGAATATGATTTTATATATATGCCGATTCTTTTTCTGCTTATATTTTTTAGTTTTTACAATTTCCTTCAAATGGTAAAACTTTTCGAATTAGTTTGAGTTAGCAACCTCAAGATATTCATAGTCAAATGAAAAGAGTTAGAGTCAAAAGATACGGCATTTTTTGAATGAGGGCTGCAAAAATCACTGTCAAAGTTGTCTGCTAGCTTTTGAAGTATAGGCGTTAGGAGGCTATTGTTAACTAGTTTTGGACTAAAATTGGGTAAAGTGTTATCCAACAAAGCTGACTCTATATTTGGGGGAACAGAAACTCCATCGGCATGGACCTAGTTAGGAGTAGGTGGGCTTCATCACTTCAGATTAAGTCATAATTTTTCCGTAGATCTTATATTTGTATTTAAAAAATTAAATAATTTGTGAATTCAAATTCTTAATACTGAATCCGCCTCTGTTAAATCACTGAAATCTCAAACTCCACCACCCTGTTTGGTGTCCAATCAATACATACCCAGTTGTATTGTATAGGGATTTTAACCAAACTAAGCCATTATATAAAATCATTTACCAAAATAATATGTTTTTCTAAAATTTTACAAAACTAGTATAAACGTATTCCACAATAACGTTTTAGGATATATTTTATTTTTTAAAAGTTGATGGCGTCAGATTGATATACGTTACTCACAGTAACGTTTTACTCCTAAAATGTTACTCATAGTAACGTTTTAGGAGTAAAACGTTATTGAAAATAACGTTTTAAAAGTAAGTATATCAACCTAATGCTGTTAGTTTTTTAAAAATAAAATATACCCTAAAACGTTACCGTGAAATACGTTTATACTAATTTTGTAAAATTTTAGAAAAATGTATTACTTTGGTAAATTGTTTTATATAATAACTTAGTAACTTAGTTTGGTTAAAAATTCTATTGTATATTGCCCTCTTAATCTCACAGCATTGATGTTTGTTTTTTTTTAAAAAAAATTAGTGGAAAAAATTCATTCCGTCCAACTAGTCTGAAGCCACTAGGATATTAATATAACTGATATATATACCACTAAAAATATTTTTCTTACATTTTTAAGTCATCCAAAGTTATTCCTAATGAATCGTTTGATAGATTATATAAGAATAATTATATAATGTAAAATAGGATATATTAGTGCTTGCATTATTGCTCGGGTGTAGATGTTCCGTTAGTGCAAACATTATAGTACGATATTTAAATAATAAGAGGTTTCTATTTGTTTTTTCTTATTTTCCTAGTTTGTTTTGACCGTATTTGCTTCCCTTTTGGCAATTATTTTCTTTTAAGATTTTACATATTAATATATTTTATCTATTTTTAATTTAAGAATTAAGGTTTAAAAGTTTTTTATATTTTTAAAATTCTGATAAAATTGAAATCGGATAAATAAATTAAAATGGAAGGAGCAATAATATAATTTTTATTTTTAATTGTCATAACTTTCTTTTTTTAGGGTCAAATACCAAGAATTTAAATTAATATTAACGATGTATTTTTTTCATTTAATTTAATTTTTAAAAACGGCTTAATTTGAATGTGGACAGAGAGTATAAAACCCGCGTTTTGTTTTTTACACTAGACTAGATAATCTTCAATATGCTTTTATTAAGGATCAAATTTGCCCCAGAATTATGTGATATGGGACAATTTCGCTTCTCATTTATAATTGAGGTTAAATACATATATCTCGCCATTATTAGAAACAGCTTACTTTCTGCAAATTAAGGATTAATTTTTTTGGCCATTATTAGAAAGAGCTAAATTTCTCTGATTAAGGATTAATTTTTATAAAACGGAGAGCAAATTTGATCCTTTCGTATAAGCTGATGAGGAGCAAGTGTAAACCTTTCACATATATAGTTCAGGTCAAATTCGACTCTCTCCCTATTTTATTTTATTTTTTTGGTTCCTCCTCTCTTTCCCGTCACTACCTCCATCACCGATCACTCTTTCCTCCTCCTCGTCTCTCCCTACCACCATTGTCACCATCACTTCACTACCCGTTTCCTTTCTCTCTGTCCCCCCCAACCCCACCTCCACCACAAAGAGGAAAATGTGCTGAATGACTTGCACATGTAATGGAAAATACTATTCTGACTGCAAATGTAAATGAATTGAACATGCAATGTAAAATACTATTTCAATGCATTATAAAACGGTATAGGAGTTGAAGGAAGAAAGTGGTGACACGAAAAAAGGAGGAATAAGAAGAGTCTAAAATTTCAAAAATTAGGACTGTTATGAGTGAAAATCCTTCCTGTTATGAACAACAATACTATGAGGGATTGGCATTTCATAGTTTAATGTATTTCCCAGCTCATTTTTTATCAAGTACACAACAACGTATTCAGTAGTGTAATAATCTCACAAGTCAGGTATGGGGAGGTTATGATATACGTAGATTTTAAGAGATCAAGGTTGTTTTCAATAAACATACCTTTTATATGATGTATATACTAAAATTCAATTTGCTACATTTTGAAGGATCGACTCGATTGTGGACCATGATGATCGAGTGAACACTGGATCACTACTTTCAACAGCAACAATCTATTGCAATGACAACATAAATGAAAGATTCTTCTTTGATTATATGAGAAGCTAAGTGCTTAATTAGTCCAATCATTCTTGGATGTTGATTTCTCCAGTTTCTACAGAATACACAAGGTATCATCTTATCTCTTAGTCTTGTTAAAGCCTAATAATCTAAGATGGTTTCTTTTGGTTCTTCCATATATTCTTCATAGGGGTCAAGTTTTCATGAACCTAAAATATCATAGCTCAACTTTTTGATTTGCTTACTGATTGAAGTCCAAATATCCCTAAAAAATTCAACCGGAATCAATTCAGTTATAGATGAGATGAAGCAGATAGAATCAGTTAGCAATAGAGAATATCCTACAAGATAACATATCTTTAAACTTGCACTTTAGTGAATAATTACCCTATATGGTCAGTAGTTCCAAAAAAAATTGAGATCTACTTTAGTGTTTTAAAAAATAATTGGAGAGTTTTTTTTTTTTTAATTTTGTGGTTCTTAAATAAAACATCGTGTGTAGTCTTTTAATCCTCTTAATCTTAAACTTGTGAGGTAAAATGTTGGATGGAGAGACTCTTTGGGGACAAATCAGAAGGGAAAGTATAAGACACTGAAAATGAAGCCATAGATCCAACTAATTCATTAGGAAAAGGCAATTTTCATGCTTAATTAATCCTTTATAAGTACATACTAGTTGTTAACAACTAAGCCTAAAACCATACACTTTCGATATATGATAAGATAATATGTCATCCGGTGATTGTTAATTATACTTCAATTACTGAGCTAATATAACTAGGCAGATCTCGAATTTAAATTCTACGAGTTCATCCTTCATGATATTTTTAGTATTACGAAAGTATGGATTCAGACTTGGTAGTAGTTATTCTATATAAATTTATGTTCATGATAAGTAATAGTAAGTTGAGATAATGAATAGAGGAGAGGAGAGATTACCTATTGTAAAATTGTAACCTGACCTCTTCAGGTAAGGTCGAGAGAGAGATCCAAATCATGTGTTTCAAGCACAGCTGCAGAAACTAAGCTTAAGTTAAAGCATATACTTGTAGAAATTCAAAACAATGTTCAAACCGACAATTCGTCGATGGAAGTTGAGCAGATTAACTCATCCAATAGAATGGTTGGCCCATAATACATAAAATAATACAGTGTACAGATGTTCCATCTGACGAAACCTGCACATCAAAAGAAGAAGAAAAAAAAAGGGATAATTATGGGTGAATAATGATGGTAGGTGCCCTACCTTCCCTTTTACAGAAATTGGAAGAAATTTCCCCAGTAAGAAAAACCTAAAAATTGAACGAGTTATTGTATAGATTTAGGGAGAGAGAAGAGAAAAATAGAAGGAGAAGAGGATGAAAGGGATGACGGAAGCATAGAGAGCACAAATGAAGTGAAATGCTTTTTTTTATTGTTAAGACTCTCCAGATTTAGCAGCAGCAGCAGCAGCATTCCATCATATGTGCTCTCTATCTTCTGTCAACAATATCACCCATTCCATTTTCCCCTCTTTTTTTTTCCTCCCTACATTTTACACAAATCAATACCCTATAAACAGTGTTAAATTAATACACAGCGGAAGAGAAGAAGAAAATGAATATAGAGTGGTTGGTGTTTAATGCAGAAAGAGGGTTGGGGGGAGATTATTTTATATATGTATAATTTATGGAGGGGGGCCTATTTATAGGAAGAAAATATGAACACCAAATAAAGATTAGTACTGATTTATTTAGTGTGGGTGGGTTACCCCGACCATTACCTGTCACTAGTACTCTCCCACTATTGTTATAATGACGTTTTTCACTGTAAATGCACAGCACTGAATAACCCTAAATTCCGTTTCTTTACGGGTCAACGGCTTATTCGGAAATCTTAGTTGCTTAGTTAATTGATTTTGATCGAGAGTTTTATTTTCTCGTAATTTAAATTGGGCGTTAAGAAAATCTGTCAGGAATTACAGTGAATTAGGGCGGATTAACAACGGGTTATCAAATTATCTTATTTAGAGACCAGGTAGGAGGTGTATTTACAGAAGATTGATTCACATCGGATTATTTTTATTTTATTTTTAAAAAAAAAAGTGAAAAAAGCAACACGTATTAGAAAATATTTTTTTTTAAATAAATGATTTCTTACTTCTTCTTTTTTTAATAAAATACCATGAGAGATATAAGTCGGTGTAGTAGAAGGTGTGGAGTGGTGGGATGGGGCTAGTGGATTGTGGGTGTGGATATGGGGGGAAAGTAGGATCATTGATTTTTTTATTTTATTTTTGGGCATAATACTTAAACTAACTTGGGTTCGATGAACAATTATGTCTTTCAGTTTTGAGTGTGTATAAGTAGATATTTAAGCTTTCATAAAATTGAACAGGTAGAGAGATACCAGTCCTACGGGGCGTGTAGGACATAAATGTTTCATTGTGCGAACACAAAGTTAGAGGTCATAATTATCCGTTTAAAGCTAATTCAAGAGATATATTTATGTATTACGTTTTCTTTTTCATTCCATGTTACTTGTGCAATTTGTTTTTAATTTTAAATTGGCTAGAGACAGTTTTTTTTTTTTCTGTTTTGCAAGGAACTTGTTTTAAATTCTTCTTGTTTCCTTCGAGAAAATAATTTTCTAAAATTTGACCAGCGGAAGATGGAGAAAAAATTGGAAAATATTTTCTACAATGATTTCCAATGTACTGAAATCCGAATACAGCCCTAAGATTCTTTTCCTCATTTTCCTGCGGAGTCAATTACATGAGAACTTACATTCGTTTTTGCTGATTTAACAAGGAATAATTTCTTTTTAAATTTGTAAATTTTCAAAATCTGTTTATTTTAAATATATTTGGTCAAAAGTTTCTCCGGAAAAGTATTGCTTTCTTTGTCCCAATCGATCGATCGCACAAATTTATTTGAGTACCAAATTATAGAGTTAGCAAGTGGTCTAAAAGTGTGTATATCATATCAACTTTCCTTGTTTCGTCATATAACACATAGCGAGTATAGTTTAAGGTAACAGAATGAGAAATTGATCTAAAAGCGTGTATATCACATGAACTTTTCTTGTTTTGAAAGATTATTAGTTTTTTAAGAAGTCTTACATCAGTGAGAAATTGGTCTTTTTTCATGGATTTGGATAAAAAAAATTGCATAAGCTAATTTTAGGGATTGAGTTAGACTCAATTGTCATATATTTATACGGTCAATATTTTAACTTGATTAATTAATTATTTTTGTCAGTATGCCCTTTGTTGGAGAGATGTCACATACATTATTATTGAAGACGGTACGAGTGTATTCCCCACAATCATACTATATGGGGTCACTTATTATGATGTATAGGCAAAAAAAATAGTCAATAGTATATAATTTTGTTTGATATTTGATTTGTAATTTAATCCTCATATAACTCAATATACCAATTAATATATTATTTAATACCGCCTACATATAGAATGACTAAGCCACTTGTGACTAAAAATGCATGGATAAAGTAACAAAAAGATATAAAACTACTTTTAAGTTATATATCGCTCTTTATTTTATTTTTTTAATGTATCGTAGTTTGCATAATCACTTTGCCTTGTATCAGGGGTGTCACAAAACTATACTCAAAGAAGTTATAACGTAGTTGGAACCATGTGTATGTTGGGGTGTCTAATTGACACCCTTCGTTGGTGGGAAAAAAATATCATATATAAAGTAAAATGTGACACAATGGGCTGTTATAGGTCAACGGTTTCAAACCACTAACATGGGTTTTAATGAGGTAGCGTTTGCTCTATTCGTGAAAATTTCTGACTCATCATTGATTACGTACGATTCGTTACTCTATGAAATTTTAACGACCTTTGATTATATTCTTTAAAGAAAGGTAATAAAGTAACGTGATAAATAGCAAGTATTAAATAGTTATTATGGTCTCATTGCCTGTCCATGATATGGTCCTAGTGTTCAGATGGATGAATGTAGACACATTTTTGTGAGATAAATATCTAGGTTCCCATAATAACGAATTGTCAAATATTTGCTCACTCTCTTTTTTCTTTTTCCCTTTATTTATATGATAAATAATTGTTGAAAAATTACGCCTTATATGTTAGATTTAGTGATTTAGGATTTTTAAAATTTATGGTTCAAATCCTAAATCTTATTTTTCTCATCAGTGTGACAAGTGATGATAATTACTTGTCAAAAACTCTCAGCTTGATACATTAAACATCTTTGATCCTACTGTGGGGGCTATATATGTTGTTGATGTAGAAAATTAGTATACAAGAAAGAGGTAGGGTATGGCCCAGGATATTTATAACTTTAATTTAGTGTGGGTCAAGAATATTGGAATATGATCAAAGTTTGTTATGTGTTTGTACGTTTGGTCTTCTTTAGATATATAAAAATATAGATTGATTCATGATAAAAGAAAGTTAATGTTCTAGTAGATATTGAATGGCTCGTTCTGATATGGGTATATAATGATTTACAAGCACAATGGATATATAAGAATCTGATTCAATTTTAATTACAATGTTACTATGTCTAGTCGTGTTGGGATATGGTCCTTTTTAGTTGTCGTAGCGCGTAAATTAGACTACATTTTAAAATATGAAATGTATTGAGCATAAATTGTAATTTTTTTCATATTAATATGATTAAAAAATTAATTTTAAAATTTTAGTTAAAATTCATATTATGTAGCTCTCAAAAAGGAAACTATGATAAGTAAAAAAGACGAAAAGAGTAATAAATACTTCTCTATTTATTTTATTTGTTATACATTAAAGTTTTACTTAATTAATATTTGCTAAATTAATAATCTTTTTAAAATAATTTTTTTTTTTGATTTTGACTTGGGTCAATATTTTAATAAGATAATATAAATTAAAATGGAGAAGTAATGATTTTTTTTTGTATATAGAATTAAGGAATGACAATCATGTTAATTCTTACTTTACCACATATTAATCCTAATAAACAATGGAAAAGACATGGGACTATTCCTCTAATTAATCACTAATTAAGGGGTCGCTTGCTCATGGTTTAAGAGCATCTTAATATTATCCACATGAAAATTTTAGTTTTCGGTAATATTAAATAGCCAGAAAATTTGGTTAGAATTTGATTAGAAAAATAAAAAAATTAATAATATCTTTTTTTTATTTTAAAATAAATGACATTTGATACATTTTTTACTTTAAATATATGAAAGTTAAAAAAATAAAAATATTTGAAAAGGTAAAATATTATTCTAATCAAATACTGATCAGGAAAAAAGGATATTTCATTTTAGTTTTTGCTTTTGTTGATGGCATAGATTAATGTTTGGAGATTTATATTCTGTTTAGTCAAAATGAGATATTTACTATTTGACCAAGCTTTTAAAAAAGTGAGTGAATGTTTCTGAATGGATAGTAGTAGTATTTAGAAATTATTTTTAGTAGTTTAAAAGGTTGATTTCTTTCAACAATTTTTTTTTAAAAAAAGAATAGGATTTCATTTCAAATTTGAGAGTTTGAATTATCTAAAAATAATGATAATCTTGTATTTATCCGTATCAACTGAATTTAAGTTCATATACTATCCAATACTACTTTTAATATCCTACTAAATTACTTAATATGTTTTACTAAGCTAAGGAATAGTGTCAATTAGGGTTCTTCATAGTTATAGTAAAAAAAAAAATTAAATCAAATTACATTGTTCCAATAGACTTGTTCTATAATCATACTTTATAAAAATCGGTTGGTCGAATTTACTGATATTGACTTAGGATCTTGATTACTTGAATTTAAAAATTAAAAAAAGATCGAAATTTTCATATTCAATCCAGAAAGTTCATGACCATTAGTCATTACCATAATAATAATATCCCAATATATTCTGTTCAATTGTCTATTCCTTAATTATTAATTTTTTTGGTACAATCATTTATTAGATTCTAAGAATCAAAATAATAGGAGTAATCTATTTCTACAGCAATATTATGATCCAAATCCAAATGGATTTTAAGACATTATCTAAATGGGAACCCACACGACTTTCACACCAAATGTTGTTATATTTTGCTGTTTAATACCATTTTGGCTTTTTTTGTTAAATCTTTACTGTCATGACAATTTCTTAAGCTAATGGAAGTCATACATTATAATTTGATTTGTTTTTCTAGGAAGTAATTTTAATATATTAAACATTGTGAGGTAAAAAGTTTGAAATTAAAAAGTTGTTAAAAAGAAAAACTTTTTATTTTTTTTTAAATTGACTTAAAATCAAAGCAAAACACATAAATCTGAAAATATTTTGAAGTAATTGAGATTATTTTATTTTTTATTTTTTTTAAAATTAATATAGTATGATTTTGATTTTTGACCGACCAAAGACTCTCAAGATTATTATTTATCGGAATCAACTACGTCTTCAAATAGAATTTACTAGTAACTTGTCCAAGCATATCATATTTGTGTTGTCAAATCATAAATATTTGACTGGTCTTCTTATACTACTCTTTTATTCGATTCCACATTTGCATCAAAACTAAGCTTTCATCATTGATTTCACCTTCATCTTTTATATCAACATGTCGTTCAATTACGTGGCTTGAAATATGTCACAATAAAAAATAAAAATAAAAAAAGAAGATAATTTTTTTAGAACAATTGAAGGCTAAAAAAAATCACTAGTTTTTTTTTTAAAAAAAATGATAGAAATGAATATTTTAAAATAACCAATTGAAAATGGACGCAGCAGCCGGGTCGAATTGAGGAATATATTTGGGCTCATGTATCATGGGCTGAGATTTAGCTATATGCATAGTTCGATTAAATTTATTTATAAATATAATAAAAATATATAAAACTTATATACTAATTATGTGTGTGATAAATTTTATTTATAAATATGTATATTATACATAAATTATGTTGGGACACTTCTTTTGCCAAAAAAGGTTGCTACTTGCTATAGAGATAAATGACCAACAAAAAGGATTACGATATAATATGTAGGTTTTGAAATTGAAATTTTTGCTTTGCTCGACATAAGTTTTTTAGAAACTAAATTATGTCTTCTACAACATAATTTGTGGGTTATAAACTGAGCTCTCACCACCATCGACATAAGCTATGTAGAAGAAATTAAGGAGCATGATATTTTAAAGCATAACTTATATATATTATGATACAAAAATATACACTTATGTGAAACAATTTTTTTTTGTTCTTTTGGTGTCAAGTATCTTTTACCGTCTTTTTATTTATTGTTGAATATAAAAATTAAAAACTATTAAATTTGAAGACAAAAAATAAGAATCACCCGAAAATATAGATATTTGTGTGAGTGACCCCAAATTAATCCGGAAAACTTACATAAATATACTATAATAAAAAAATATTTATCATTTATAGTAATTAACTTTTTTTTTCACTTGACCACTTTTAATTCATTTATAATACAAGTTTAATACATATTCAAATATAATACAAGTTTTAACGATGGATAATATATTTATCACATATTTAAATACACTTATAATACAATGTGATAATTTTTTACCAAATAAACATAATATATTTCAAAAATAATTATAATTCAAATATATTGCATACATAATTCACTTTTAATACATATCACAAATTTATCACAATATTGCTACAAATGATAATAAATAAAAAGTATCACTAAAATCAATAATTATTTTTAAAAATGTATTAATTCATGTAATTTTTCCGATTAATCCATTAATTTCCCCTAAAATAATAACAACAAAATGAATCTTACAAAAGTACCCCCGTATTCTGATCCAAACCCAAACGTAATTAAGTGGGTTATGAGAAGCAAATCCACGGCCCACAAAGGATGTTATGGATATTTGGAGGCCCATAGGAAGCCCATAAAGGATGTTATGGATATTTGGAGGCCCATTGGAGGAAACTAAAGGAAAAATTTCATAAATGGCTAAGAATAGAAATATAATGAGGTTTCTTAGTTAATGTTCGTAATTATGATTTGAGTAACTATTCAGGCCACGATTTGTATATCTCTCATGACTATTAAATACTTATTAAAATATGACTCTTAATTTAATTAACGATAGATATAATAATTTCAAAAGAAGTCCCACGAATCACGCATAATCCCTGCATTAAAACAATTGACTCAAGTTCAATAGGTAATAATAAGGGCATTACCTTAGATATAACCTTTATAGGAATATAAACATGTATTTTTTAGTTTCTATTACTTATCAAAGTGGACAATTTTGGTTTATTTTTTAAAAACAAAAAACCTTTAAAGTGTACATATATAGCTTCAATTTGAAGATGTGTAAAAAAATAAAACTTAAAAGTTGTATTTGTTAGGAATATGTGCCATAATATAATACTTACTTGAGTTAAATAAATAAAAAGTAGAGTTTCTTTTCTCTAAGCAAGGATTTGCACCTTTCTTGAGTAATACTTTAGTCAATACCTATA